CCCCAAGGTTGAGGCTGCCAGGAAGACGAAAGGCACCGGACGGTCCCGGATTCCCCAGGCGAATTGTTCTCAATCACGAACTGGATGTTGGCGCCGTTGGCTCGTAGGGTTTGGAGATAATTCTGGAGAAAGAGAAACGGATTAAAGACTTCGGTGTCATTGGGACGAGCAGTAGCGGAGGGGGGAGGAACCATCCCGCCAAAGAAAGCAGAGAGATCATCAAAAGGATGGGGAGAGTTGGGGGAGGACAGGAAAGGGAAGGGAGAATCGAAAGGGTTGAGGTTGAGAGTTTGTTGATTAGGGTTAGGGTTTTCGAGTTCTTCAAGAAATCCACCATTGCAGGTGGGACAAAGCAGATCGGAAGAAGGAGAAGGGGAAGGAGAGATCCTGACGGTTCGATTACACTGGTAGCAGAAATAGGGTTGGCCGGAGGAAGACATGTGAGCTGTTCGCCGATTGACTTGGACTGTAAAAGATTTAGATTCTTCTTGTGATTACACCACGAAGCGAAACAGGCGAGACGAAATGAGAGAGCCTTCAAACCAAGACATTGATCAAACAGAATTAGAATTTAAATTACTTGTGTTTATATTTTTTTGCTGAAAATTACTCCTCTACATATATATATATATATATATATATCTTATGCATTTTGCCTTTCTTATTTTTTGAAAAAAAAAAATCAATCAATTCATTTTTTTAAAAAGAAAAAATAACTGATTTTTTCCACCCTAAAAAGTTATATTTTCATTAAAAATTATGAAATTTCTTTTACATTTATTTTAATTTTCTAATTTTATAATTTAAATAACTAGTGAAATCAGATATTTTAGAATTTAAAGAAATCTAAAATTTAATTGTGTTATCTGAAGAAAGTCAAAAAAATCTGAAAGATTAATTATTTTGTTAAGCTTAGATTTTTGCCATAAAGAAGTAAAAGAAATAGATAAAAAATTAATTATCTTTACAATACTTAATTCAAGTAAATCATATTCACATTTAGTTTAATTTTTAAATTTTAATCATTTGATATTTTTATTTTTTTTATCGTATTACCACTCATTAAATGAGTAATAATAAAAATATCTTTATTTAAAGTTATTTTTATTAAATATACTATTCTGATTATATTTAATTTTTA